GTCAAGAATATTCGAGCCCTTACTCTGGATAAGGTTTTTATGAGGTGTTGGGCGAAATTGATAAAAGTTGATTGACCTTGTTTCGCAACTTGGTCATATTGGTAGAAAGACTTAGAGGAACTCACCTGGTCCGGAGTCCATTGTATGCATCATCATTTCCAGAGTAGGAGCAAGGACGTGGTGCATTCCCAGACGTTTCACGGGTATCGTAGCCGGCATCGTCAGTGAGTCTCGCCATTCGTAGCACCATATTACAACTCGTCAAAGAGACAAGCGACGCCCATCCTTTGACCAAACGTGTGCTAAACAGTTGTGGTATATCCGCTTCTGCCCTGGGCTATTCACATTTCATATATCCTCCTATCATGCCTTCCCTGTCACAATTTTACCGTACTTATTTTTTATGTAGTGTGGTACCATATTACAACTCGTCAAAAGAGACAAGTGAAGCCCATCCTTTAACTAAACGTATGCTAAACAGTTGTGGTTATAAATATAAGCACGGTAAAAATTGTGACAGGGAAGGCATGATAGGAGGATATAGAAAATGTGAATAGCCCAGGGAAGAAGGGGAGATACCACATCTATTTAGCACATGTTTGGTTAAAGAATGGGCTTCACTTGTCTCTTTGACGAATTATAATATGGTGCTATGAATGGCGATAATAACTGACGATGCCGACTACGATGCCGGCGAAACGTCTTGGAATGTACCACGTCCACGGTCCAGATGTTCGGCATTATTTTACAAAACTGGTTTGTAACAAAGTTTCTTTGCTCTTAGATGTGCATAGTGAAACACAGAATATAACAAATAGTAAAATAAAATAAAATAGCGGGCTTTAATTAGTACCAAATATAGATTTTACGCTTATTCTCAAGAGATTTGCCACAAAGCAACACTGTTTTTAAAATAAACTCATATGTTCAGTACGATTAAATAGATTAAAAAAATGAAAAGATAATTAGTTAATAACAGATATTATAGGATGTTGTAATCATTTAAAAATTTTGCTTTCTGTTTTCGCTCTATCAGTATTATTTAGTCAAAAAACCTGATATGCTTAAATTGAGAATAAAACTGAGCAGAGTAAAACTTGATTTTTTTAAAATCTAGGGATAGACTAAATTATTCTTCCGAGTCCTTAATCTATTTAATTTTTCGACTTGGTTAGAAGATTTTCAAACACTAAAAGGACTGACAACTTTCAATATCTGTTACAACCAATTACCGAACTTTTAACGTATTTAAG